TTCATTCATACATGTGTGTTTTTAATTAATATAATGGATATAGGTATATATAGGCGTACTATCATATTAGTACTTGGATCTTCTTATCTGTGATGATAAACACGAACCCGCATTTCTGATACTAGGGCTTGTTTTCTACCTCTATCTCTTAGTGTTTATGATTGGTAATCACTTATGCTGTCAATATTTATTATCAATTTCTCCCCATATTGGAATGTCTTTCATTTTGTGCCTTAAATTACTGTTATTTTATAATATTAAAAAGGAAACTATTCGTACTCAGACAGCCTGTTTGTCACCTTGCGGAAAGCTTTTCACTGTGTTGAATTGGTTTCAAACTTTCTGCCAAAAATGCTCAACTAAATTAAAACCGCTAATCGAGGGGCATTCTCAGAATCCCTTGAAAACGGATTGAAAACGTATCATGCCGTGTCCCTCACACTGGCTTTAGTTCAGCTTCCTGACTTGTGTAGCCTGCGATATGCATGTAGACAACTATCGACAAAGTGAGTGAGTAGACCGGGTCCAAAACTGGCATAGGGCCCATTTGTCTTTGGCTGCGGCTGTAAACCGTAAGTACACCTATGGGATCGGAAATAACTGAAGTCGTAGCCTTATTTTGGCAAACCTTAGCTGAAGCACGGTTCGCAATCGGGGCAATTTGGTTATATAGCTTTGATTTCATTTTCCGCAAATGAAATGATCGAGCTTATGCTGGCTTAGGCCTATGCGATAGTCGCCCGACCATCTCCAAATGTTAATAAAAAAGGCGATTCGTAGAGTCCTAGTTACTCGGACTAGCTGAAACCCACGTACAGGAACCCGCGTGATATTTGGTGAGAACTTGGCATGGTCAATCAGATAAGGTATTGCCTTGTCAATGTAGTTTTATGGCCAGCCAGTGTGCTTTCCGTACGGTGGCTTGATATTTCCGGGGTGCGCACGTGTTGGTCTGGTCTGTAGGAAAACACGTCATAACTCACCACGTCTATATCCCTGGATCGTGTTTGAAGGACCGCGAGAGGATTGCACTATTCACACGCGTAAGCCGAACTTCCGATTCTATCCCTAAGTTTTATCGAAATGCTGCAGTTGTTTAAACTGCAGATCAGCAACTGTGATATGACCAGTTTACTGACAAATACATGTACACAGCAGTCAATTGGCTCATGTACTTTGGTCTCAGTCACAGCTGTTGCAAGCTTTGGAGTTCCCACTCTAGTATTCACCGCCAACCCTTTCAAATGATGGTGAAAAATATGGAGCCGAATTTAAAAGTCTCCACTCGACCTGATTTGCAGGCTGAAATGTTACTTTTAGTATAACAACATGTACTATATATATTTTATTTTTCGATTGATTTCAGATTTCGCGCACAGTGAGGTTACATTGGTAAATGGTGAACCCGCCATCGCGTCTGGCTTTAGTTAATAAGTCATGGAGGACTAAGAACACATTTTATTCCTCCAAGGTTAAGTTGTGGTCATCCCCGTCATATCACTTCTTTCCGTTCATTGATTTCATTGCTTCCGCAAAATGTGGCTTTGCGTATTTGGACAGTTAAAGATTTCCGGTTCCCGCAAAAAAGAGAACATTCCTGCAGGTAGTCTGTTCCTTGCGCTATGTCTGAATTTTTTTACAAGCACCTTTGCAGAGAGGAGAAATTCAATGCTAATGCATGACATAAAATTCTCAATGTAACTATCATATAAGTTTTCTCTATTATTATGGTTTAAGTTGCCATATTCTATAGTAGTGGGTATAGTTCTTGCGTCCAGACGAAGTATCTATTTTGTATCACAAACGGAAGCGAAGTCTCAGCAGCAACCCTCACAATTATCAAGCCTCCTTTTCTGCTGGTAGATGACTATGCATTGGCAGTTGATCGAGTGTAAACTTGTGATCGACCATGGATCGACCAAGTCATTCAGACCTAACAACGCTGAATACATGTTGCTTTTTAAAAGTTAGCAATAATTGAAATAGCTATAGGCATGGCTGCAGTTATTGCCATTTCTAGTTTTGTTCCGCATCAGTCCAGTTGCAATTTTGACATAAATGAACATGGCTGATTGATAAGTGCACACAAAGGACAAAGGTTGGGCAGGGTACATATTTGTATAGTATGCATATAAGGCCTCGTTTATCCAACTACAGCACGCCTTCCTGCAGGGTCCGCGAACCCATTGTTACTATCAGCTGGCAAGGTATTGTTCACAAAATGATGATAATGAACGTCCCGGCGGCTGTTTGCTGTAACTTTTTTAACCGCAGACTTTCACCGTTTTCCACAAAGTTGACAAGGATCATAGGTGAGGGCCAGGAATAGGGTTGGGTTATTCGGACAAGGACTTGGGAATTTTTTTCTTTAAAAAAAACGACGTGAGACTCGCGTTTACGTTTTTAGACCAAATTGCATGTAGATCGTCTTCCAAGATGTGCGTGCGAGCAAATGATTTTGAAACGTATACAGGAAATTGGTTTGTACATGTACTCCCTTCTGGCTCCGTTAATGTCGTTAAAAACCACTGAGCAACAATCACCCATCAACAATCACCGGAACAAAAATAGCGTGGACACCGTGGATCACAAGTGCGCAGAGAGTGGCCTGATCGTCTCTTAGTCTTACCATTCCAGCATCGCGGCTGGAAAAGATCACAGTGTCATGGCCAGCGGTACTGATGGCCTATTTCGAAATAATATTGTCAGTCACAAAGCAATTTGTGAAACTCTAGACCACAATGTGACGGTCCATACTTATAGCCTATCCTGCAGTTTGGCGCCGCAAACATACCCGCCTATTTTGCACAGTGCAAATGTTAAGGTCTGTCATATCTTAATCATGTGTTTTTAAGTTTTTCAAAAACAGTAATGATGTCCTTGAGTCTTATCACTATCAGGATGCTATGCATAACATTTTTTTTAAATTTCTTTTCGGAGGGGTGTAAAGGGATTGAAGGCTGTTGCAAAACTATAGCAGATCACTTCCTATTCATTTTGATTGCTGTTTGGACAAGGTATCTTTTTTATATTTTTACAAATTAACATTACAGAATATATAATATACGAGTAAAATCACTGCTAAATTTGTGTCTACACTCTAAAAACGTGTTTAGCAATTAAACACTATCTAGCTTGCTGAGCCCTTTGTAAACATGTTCAGATGCTAAACAGTAGGCCTATGTGTCCAATTCCTAAACATCAATGTCAACAGCTAAACACTATCCATCCTTACTCTAAAAATGTTTAGTATTTAAACATGTTTACAAACTGATAGCAAGAAAGTGTTTACAAAAGTGTTTAATCTCGAGGTTCAATTCAAGATATCTCTAAAAGTCCATTTTAATAGTAAATCCATTTCAAGGTATCTCGAAATCCATTTCCAGATGTCTCGAAATCCATTTCCAGATGTCTCGAAATCCATTTCCAGATATCTTGAACTAGATGATCGAAATCGATTGAGAGATATCTCTTAATCATTTCGAGATATCTTGAAATAAATCAAAAGCTTCCGCTTTTACTTGAATAAAATGTCACTAGTGCGCGCCATAAATAACCTCCCTTGCTTTAAACCATTTAACGAGCCCACCAAAAGGGGACTGTTACGAAGCAACAACATTAATATGATAAAACTTTGATCAATCAAAAAAAAATAAGATTTTCAAATATCGTGTGAGTCTAAGCCAGACAAAGCCACCCCCTGGGCTGGCAGGCGGGTAGCGGGCTATACCAGACTCCAGCAGGTGATTCAGTCAGACAAGCGACCGACGGATTCAGACGATTGCCTGGGAAACCCGCGACCTGCAAGCAGCGGCCTTGCTCCCTACCTCACGTCCCGCTGTCTAGCAAAACAGTACGCACGAAGCTTAATTCAAGAAGCCAAATCTCAGGAACTAGGCTTGGATGATTTAAGTGAAACGTCGTTGTATTTCTCAGTCTGTGGCCAAGAAAAGAGGTCGGGGTGTTATAACAAAAGTTAATTGGCTTCTTAGTCCGAAATTATAAGAACAACAACAAAGTACTCCACACCTTCTTCGGTTTCAGAAAACACATTTTCGATATGCTTTTTGAAATTGTTTCACGTAAGTATGCTAAGTTACCAATAATACAATACACAGTCGTTCATTATAATACTCTGCTCGAGCTTGGTCAGTTTGGGGGGAAATACACCATATGTCTCTAACAGCCTTCGTTTGATAGTAAATATGATAGGTACAGAGTTAAAAAGAAAGACAGGAGCATGGTGTCCAACGTCCATTTTTTTCTGCACTCGGCGTTTAATGTGAATTTTGGCGAGTTTTACCAGCTGCGCTAATGATAATGCGACTGATACGCATCAACTTCAAGATATCGTTCCAAATGGTGACGTTGTGCGAGTAGTGACCATGAAAATGATAGACCAGTAATTCTTTGCGCCACGTCAACACCGCGGGTTCTGTTTAAAAAGCTGGGCTTACTCGACGACATTTTATCCAGGTCACGCAACCGACTCCCTAGTTCAGGTCCCTTTCCTCTTTGTTGTCGCCGCGAGGATACACCACAGAATTCCAGTTTTCTTGACATTCCCATGTGAGTCTTCGAACCACCGGCTGAGCCTCGAGTCCAATTAGACAAATCGTCTTTGACATCAACAAATTACCTTTGATGGGCTTTGGTTAGAGGTTAATATACCCCGGAAATGATAAGTCAATTCGCAGGCTATACGTTCTGGAAAAAAAAAATGAAATTGCAGTATCATAGACACGATAGGCCTACAACAAACGTATTTTATCGTATAAATATAATCATTAAATTAACCCTATATCTATATTACAATACTTTTGACTGCATGGGATTTAAAAAAAAAATTGCCAACTCGACACTAATTATAATTAAATTAGAGGAAAGGAATACATAATTCATTCACATAAAATGAAGAGCGGGTAAAACTGCCTATGGTACTTTGAACGAAAGTTCATACATGAAACAGCCGTTTGCAATCTCGATGAGCCGTCGTATATAACGCTTCTCTTATGTGAGTGTGGGCCAGTCGATCATGTTGAGGAGGCATTGTTCCCAGTGGTCAGTGACGATTACGTGAGGTTCAACGTTAACGTCCCCCTCCTGTATACTTGAGGACTGCCTGGTTGGATCGTCTCCGCGGTGAGCACGCGGGTTTCCTTAACCATAGAGCAAGGGACAGATTTGCTCTATGCCTTAACCCAGCAGTCATGTACTGCAATCACTCCGTGGCGTAACTCGCACCCATTGTTTTGGGGCAAGGGGTGGTACTGGTACGCAGCTCCGCAAAGTCATCTAGTTCTTCCACTGTTCATCTACCCAATATCTTTTTCTGCGTATCACATTCACACAAAATTGAACCATGGAGGACAAACCTACTAATGGCTCTGCCGGTCAGGTGTCGGAAGCCAACGGGGCCGATCACGCACAGGAGCCCGATCATCGGAAGGACGCAGATGCCTCCTCCTCGGTAAGTTTACATTGTGTCATTTGAAAGTAGGATATCTTTATTGACCCACAGCGTGGCCATAATGTAAGTTGAGGTGTTCAGAATTGGACGGAGAAACGCTTATGTTGTTTGTTTCATATCAAATCAATATGTGCAGTGCCGATTGGAAATCCATTTTGAAATGACCCGACCGGTCCGAAATGACGTGCATTTACGTATACAGCACGCGGGAGGCAGTACAAGACACACAAGGTCCTTTGTCCGATGGTCCGCGATCATGGACCTATGAACGGTCCGATATGCGTCTGGACTGTCATCTTTACGTGTAAACAACGCGTGTGTGGATCGGACATCACTGTACATTGTTGTACTAGTACAAGTACTAGGTGCCTCGCACCATGCTCCATTTAAGTCTTCCTGTACAGCCAGTCGCTTTGTAAATTAGCAACGTGGTAATTTTTTGGCATCGGAAACACTTTAACAATGGAGCTATAAAATCTTACCAAAAAACCCTCTCTCTGCTAAAAAAAAGGCCGTTACTGGTGACCAGTGCCTTGCACAACAGATTGACAGGTCACCATCTATATAGTTTGATCATGGCCTAGCACTTTGAATATATATTACACCGGTAATTCAAAACTGTATTAAAAAGTCGTTTTACTTTATTGTGCAATAACTTTCTGAATGATGTAAAATGTTGTGTAATATTAAGGACGTTTAATTTGTCCATTGTCCTATCGCCTGCATGATGATCACATCATTCTGTTGCGCTCAACCGTTCTTTTCGCATTCTACCTCCATGTCCAAACGTTGCAAAATCGTGATTTCTCGATGGTCACAGTAATTCTGGTTGGAAATGCTGATAATTATAGTCCCATAGGCTGAGAAACCAGTACTGCTTCAGCTTACAATAATTATTGACTACTATATTAGTTTCATAAACCAGCACAGCGGTTGATCGTATGGCTGCTATAGTATGCAGGAAATAACGCCGAGCTAAGAGCAGAACCTTAATTGCAGCAACCGAAGTCATATTATGTCCATTGACCGGACATAATCGGTTCTGACTAATCATTTTAGGTAAACTTTCGTCCTTGGTCCTTCGTATGTGTCATAGATGTTATTTCTTGCAGTAAATACGTCTGTTGTAAGTAACGAAGATTGAATTTGCTATCTTGTAAAGACCGGCCCATACGTATCGACGCGAAAGGGAGCATACGAACGTGAACTTGCGACGTTAAATTAGTAAGGTGTTGGCGCTGAGTAAATTAAATTTATTAAATTTACTAAATTTCCAACTCTGGCGGATTTCACAGCGAAGGTCTCGTGATGTCCTATTCGCTTTGCATACGCTATTTCGCATTCACGTGAAGTGTGAATCGTCTTTCAAGAGAAAAGCAGGATTCGCCATAAAAAGTGGAACTTTGGAATAACGGTCATACGCGGTTTATCTCAGAATGCAACCAGTTTGTGAACTCCGAGTCCTCTGGTGAAGTTTTCTGCCTCTCCATTCAAATTAAACATAGGTAAATACGCACTGTTCTAAGTTAACGTGCGTTTTCTCCATTGGTATAGCCATTGATTGTCAACTGAAGATCTCATGTGATAGCTGGATGTGTATTTGCTTTAACAAGCTAAAAAGCACGGATATCTTCAATTTTTAATGTCACGTTAAACAGTCCAAACGCCCTTTACTGCATGGGGTTGAAGCCTGATAAATGGTACATTATAATTATTGCGCCTTGTGTTTTGTACAACTCTAACTTTTTCTTTCGGCCGGATTTACATTTAAGCTGTTTTGAGGAAATTTGATTGATTTCAAGAATCCCCCCACCACCATAATTTAGACAAGAATTTTATGATTTCCTGTCTTCAGTATGTCAAATTGTTTTAAGAGTGTCATAAGTATTAGTATGACGGTCACGGCTCTGACTCTATTGGGTTCCCGATTCGAATGTTCCAACCGCCGGGAAATGTATTTTCTGAATTTTTGTCCACAGAGGTCAACGGCCTGTGTCGCGAGACAGTAAACCACTGGAAGGATATGACCTGTTGCAAGTGCAGCAATCAAATTTGATAAATTACAATCAACAATCACGCTCGTAATTTACCACATGTTCTTTCCCAAGGCGTAATTATCATTACCCACTAAACTTCGCTCGAATCTCAAGCATGTTGAGAGAAAATCAACGTCGTCAAAAAGTACACGGGCTGGTATAGACATGCTATAAAGCTGTGAGTGATTTTTCCCACGTTCGCGACACGTTCGTGGGAAAAGTCACTCAGAACTAGCATGTCCATACCAGCATGACTTATACCAGAGCAGTTGTGGATGGAATATACCGATACCGGCCATGTACCGATACCGGCCAATACAGTGCAACTACACCATTTATTTGTCGGGTACGGCTTGTCTCTTGGTCTTCCAGTCGAGTCTTGTAACCAGAGAACACAACTTATTAAACTCACACATTTCAACTCTCTTTTTTATTGTTTGAAAACGTGATCAGGGCGAAACATTATTGTGATTTGTTTTGAATCTCATTAATATACACATGTACAATTAAATGAAGTCTCTCAATGTGAACATAATTATTGTGCTTTTGATTTGTACACATCTGAGCGGCCATAATTGTAATCGTGCTGTCTGGTGATCCATTGATTTTTTGGGGGCAACAAACTCGCGAAAAGTGCATGAGCGTTGCCACCTGAATGCCATTCAAGTGGCCGACTATACAGATCAATATTCCCTTCTTTGGGAACGTCTCTCAGATAACTAATAATTCATTAGCTTCGATGTAATTGTAAAAAGTTATGTTTATTCATGAGAAAAGAACAACGACGTCACACCATTAATTGTTATTACTTACACACGTATAATAATCAATAGTTACAGCTAGTAAAGCATTTTAAAGAACGGCCGACATCGAGCTGCCAAGTAGCCTGTACAGTGGATAGTGAGATGAATTATGGATCGCAAGATTCCTGTTTCAATATCCATCTGTGCCCATTTTTCATCGACTATATTTCCCTTCTCCAAATTTATCGTTGGGATAGTTCGAGAAAGTGTGTTGCAATGATTCCATCGAAACTCCTGAATTATTAGTTCTCTGAGAGACGTTCTCAAAGAAGGAAATATCTAACGTCAACTGCACGTCCTCTATAGCACCATTTTTATATCAGTTGTTCCTTCCACCCCGAGTTGTCCCCCCCCCCCCGCAGGTGTCCCCCCCCCCCCACAGTTGCGCCCCCAGTTGTCCCCCACACATGCCCACACTGAATTGTATACCCCTACCCCAAGTTGTTGTTCCTCATGCATGCACTGGTTCGTGGTACAAACCTAAAACGTATTTATCGGCCAATCTTATCGGATGCGATTGTCTTCGGCTAAACCCGAAGATTAAGCTTCAAGAAAAACAGCGTTTTAATTACACATTACCGAGTTAATAATCAATGATTAGCGTAAACAACGTTACTTAGGCCTATCTTTAGCAATCAAACCATGGAGTTCAAAGGTCGGATTGTAAATGATATCGTATGCTGTTTTGATGGTGGAATTAACACGTAATATTTTGATGGACTGATTTGAGTCGTTTGTTTTTGGGGGCGGAGGGTGGGTGGGTATAGATATACAAATTTGTAGAGACACTATAAACAAAACTATTCACTGAGCCGATTTGCTTATTGCAGTTTAAAAGAAAAGATGGTGCACAATGACACGGCCCCCAATCGAGGAGGCAGTTTTGTCGTCGTCCATCACGGGTCAAATCACAAATCCAGGCACAAATTATTAAGAGATTAATAATGCAATGTTGTAGTCGAGTCAATCACACGCAATCAAGTCCGGTCACAAGTATAATCACAAGTCTGTGATCACAATTCCTCCCACAAGACAGGGGATTTGGCTTGGCACCTATGATGGATTCGACACCGAAACAATGGCAAAAGAATGCCTTCGTCCATGCTTCGTCACAGTTGTGACTCGAGACTAAATGTAAAAGCTTGTGATGGACTAGTGAGGATGTAGTCAAGCTTAAGTTATTACGACCCGTACACTGCAAAAACTGCAGTGTTAAATTTACACCATTTGTATCTATATAGGACCATCTGGTGTTAAATTTTACTGGTGTTGTCCTATATAGATACCGAATGTTGTTAAATTAACACTGCAGTTTCTGCAGTGTACTGGTGGTCGTAACACATGCTTTACACTGAAATCCTTCAATCTCTTATTGAACTATTGAAGACGATCCCAACATTATACTGATCGGAACGTCAAGTTTTACAACCAACCGGTTCTTTTCAGAACCACACATCTTCCCAAAAGAGATTTTCACATGGTGTTACTGCAAACCCGGCTTCACAGTTCATACCTCCACCATGCAAAGTTTCAAATCTCAATCTCCCATTGAATTGATATTCGTGACTTTCTTGTTTAATTAACACATAGTACTGCTTGTTTTTTTCTCACTAGTCTGGCGTTTATTTTAATGCACTTGTATCATTTTTTTTTATTTCTTTGAGAAAACAAATACAGGGATCTGCAAAGCAACTAATGCAGAACATCTTGTTACACCTTCTGCATTCGTCTGGCATGTTTGAAGCACAGTTAATTTGGGAGGTATAACTTTTCAAAGTGATATTGTGCAACAGGCCCTTGGAGGGGTGGAAGTAAATCAACATCGTCGATGCAATGAACACTAGGGGGTTGTCATAGAGCCCGCGCCTGCTCCAACCCCCTGGAAATGACGTGACCCACACTTGTCATGCTTCTCAAACACACGAAGCTCGATTGGTGTGCGCACGTGCCTTTACTCACGGGCTGCACGTTTGTTTTCGAAGCCCCTTGCAATAGAACAATCGTAATAACCGATAAAATTGTTTGCTTGATGACCGCTTATAAGTTATATAGGTAATCTTTCGCCATCGCAAGCATCGAACGACCACATCATAAACCCACGCCTGACAATGTAATAAAATAATGAAGTTTGAACTCAGTTGTATAGCTCCATGGTATACCC